CCCCCAGCGGCCGGCCACGGCGCATATTCCACGGCGATAGCAGCTCCTCTCTAAGCGCCCATCGTACCGAGCCCAGCGACTGGTACCGGGTTGCAAGACTGATAAAGTGACACCCGAGGGCAATAAATTTGAATCTGTTCCCATTAAGGTTTCAGAGAGACACTTACTCTTATCTTAAAGAAATGCAAGTTTATCTGCAGCAATTGCTTTGTCTCCTTTGCTTCTGTTACTCATTATTAAAGCCTTGCCCATCATAATGTCACAATTGAGCTTAATTAGCAGATATTTAAATGCTATCTACCAAGGCCGATTTGAGCAGACACTCATTGTCTTCTAGGAATTCTGAGGTTCAGGCCATTCTCCTTTGAGGTGCCTCAGCCCCCACCAGCCCTCCCTCCACAGCAGTCACGCAGCAGCGTTAGAGACTGCTCCGTAACGCACGGCTGTTAAACTGCACCGAGGCTAGAGGCGCAGATACATGCTCTGGGGGCCCAAGATTGTCACTCCCACAGTGAAATTACTTTCTCAGATGGAAATCCTCCTCTCAAAACCAGACAGGCTTATTTCTAACTTCCCAGGTAAACCCTCTCTTTTCCAAAGGGCTTAATCGCTGCCCACCAAGTCACAAAAAGGAGAAACAAGCGTAAAGCAGCACGAACGTTTCAGCATGGATCAAAACCCCAGCAGAAAACACAGCCGAGCACTGACTTGCGTGCTGGAAGAGCTCCACTGTTCTGGGAAGCGGGAATGACAGCGGAGAAGCCGGAGGGTCAGGGCTTTCCCCGGCAGCTCGGGGTCAGGGACCCTCTCTGCTGTGCTCAGCTACAGGCGGCTCCTGCCAAATCCACTGCAGCTGCTGCCCCCCGTAGCCCGACCCTGCCCCTCAGCAGGGAGGGCAGAGCAGCGCGGGGACGCCTGCACCAGCTGGAACACAGAGCAGGCAGCTCCTGCTGCCCGTCGCTGGAAGGCGACTCAGAGCACACTGAAACTCCCAGCAGGGACCAGGTGTGGGACGCACACCGATGTCGTGCCAAGAGGCCTTGGTCTGTCAGGGGAAACCCAGCAGCACGGGGTGTGCCTGGGGGCTGCGCACAGGACCCCCCGATCGACCCCCCTGCACCGGGCCAGCAGTCCCTTGCAGGAACAGACAGAGGACAGAAGCCGAATTTATTGCATTCGTCTCCATACCAGGAGACTCAAAATGTTTTTTATTTCTCCCTTATATTGCATTTCTGTAACTTTTACGGTATTAAAATGATTAACAAAAGCATAAAACTGGAACCAAAAACAATCATTGAGAGTGTCTCCTCCGGCACTCCAAGGCCCATCATCAGCAGGGGCTGCGCTTGGGTACGAGCGCCCCCCGAGCGGCTGAGACTCGGTCCCTGGCACAGGACGCGCGCTGGTCTCGGACGAGATCAAACTGCCTTGCCCAGGTAGCAGGAAGGCACTCAAGGCATGGGCTGCTTTTAAGCCTGGCTGGTGGGAATCCTCAAGACAAGGTCCTGGTTCTTCGCGGGATGAGCACTCTCGGGGCAGGTGCTCTAGATGTCCATGTCGAACTGCTCTTCCTCGCCTGCTGAGGGGCACAGAACACACGAATGAGTCCAAGTTTTCCATTAAATACCAAGTACCTCATTGAACGAACAAGTCAGCTGTGCAGTTCAGACCTAACATCTGCATTCGGGCACCAACCTTGACACAAAAACCATCCTGTCCGAGCGAAACGCAAGCTCTGTCTGTAGCGGGGACCTTCCACGCAGGCAGGCAAGAGCAGAGGCAGAGAAGACGCCCCTTACAGAATTTATTTCTACCCCTGGATTTCCTTGTGAAAGGGAATGTAGAGAACAACGTTGATGACAATCACTGGCAGGAACTCGTGTTACCAGAGGCACCAGCACGTCTCACCAGGGATCCCCCCCAGCGCCGCTACCACAGCTCGCAGGATGAAGGACGCCCACGTGAGCGGCGAGGAGCTATTCCCGAGGACAGGGGCTTCTTTGGGAGAGCCACAGCCGAGCTGGCACCCGGCGTGCAGCCCGCGTTCCAGCTCGCCAGAGAAGCCACTAAAGGTCACCACAGCGCGTCACAGCCAGCATTACGCAATACCGGCTCTGCAAGGATTTCGCTTGGGACGAGCGCGGGAGCCAAGCAATGAGCATCCAGGTCTTTATTTTTAGAGAGAAGATAAATAATCGTACTTGGTAGTTTCAGGTTGCTTCAAGGAGTAACCTCACAGCTTTGAGAAAAGGCGTTCAAGAGCGACACTTGCTCACGCTGCTGCTACCGGGCCTTCAGGGAAGCGTCCGTGTGCGCCCAGCGGGCAGAGACCCCCTCTCCCCGCCCCCCTCGCTGCGCACCCACGGCTCCCGCTGCGCCCGGAGGGGACAGCACCGGGCGCTGGACCATCGAGAGGCACGAAGCAGTATCGCACCCCGGCTCCCTGCGCTGAGCTCGCTCGTACACCAGAGCCTCGGCGCCAGAAAAGGCAGCAGAATTTCCAGCTCGGGCTGACGCTGACCCCAAACCCTCACCTGAGCTTTGGCCAAACGGCAAAGCAGCTGCCAGAGGGCCCAG